TAAAACGCCTTTAAATTCCTGCGGTTAGCTTAGTATATATGAAGGATTCTGTGCTTGTCTGCTTTTTGCTCTTGACAAGAATGTTTTTCTCTCACCTTGATCGCGCTTGGCCAATCGCAGTGCTTGTGCTCGATTGTTCAGGACGGAGGCGCGTTCCATCAGGCTTAAGGCCTGGCCAAATCGCAGTAGAGCCTCCTCCAATTCGCCGCGCTCTGTCAATCGCACTGCCTGCAGCTCCAGTTCTCGAGAGGCTTGCAGCAGCTGCGATTCGGGCTCCTCGTCCGCCAGCTCCGCTTCCGCTTGGATGGCAACGTTGAGGGTGCCCATGCCGCTCAGCTCCAGCGGATTGAATATGGACTCCAATACCTGCTGGTCATGTGGGCTCAGCTTCAGATTGGCCTGCGGCATGGCTGGACTTGCGTTTTAGTTACGTATTGAGCGCGTTGCGGAATTAAACTAAAGGCACAACACGAAATCGAATTCGAAATTGAAATCAAAACAAAAACAAAACAAAATGCGCTGAACTATGCTAAGCAGGCCGTTTAACCGGTTCATTTGTTGGAAAACAGTTTAGAATCGAAAATGAACTTGTTAAAGCTATTTGCGTGCACTGCAAGAAACTGTTTGTGGTTTATAAAAAAACGTTTTGTTTTTATTTTTCTTTCATTTTTTGTTTGTTTTTGTTTTGTTTGTTTTATGTATATGTAAATACCAAGGACAATATCATTTGTTTACTCTTGTTTTGCAATAATTTAATTAATAATATAATAATAAATCAGCGCTTGAATCATTTTCATATCTTTATATATATATATATATATATATCTATATATATATATACATATATATATATATTTGTGTATATATATATATAATTTATAATTAATCATTTGTTTTTAATTTTCTTTCTCTTGTTAATTTTTCCATTGCTATGCTAATGCGTTTACTTGCTGTTTAATTTTGATAAATACAATTACATATTATTAATTCACAATAAATGGTTTTAAATGTTTAACTTTATGCTCTGCTCAATAGTTCTTGTCTTTACAATATACACAACTGAAATATCATTTAAGACTATATATTATATATATATGCACTATGCCGTTTAGCTCGATCTTTTGCGTCTATGCCTGGTGTTCTCGTTATCGCCTAATACATGAGTGAGATGATATATGGGGGAAAACGAATCAAAATTATAAAAGTTGATGTCTCGCATGGAACTAAGTACATATGCCTGTCTCTATGGAATGTAATTCACTTTGAAGCAGAAGCACTTGGCAACTAGAAAGCTTCGATTTTGCCTAAACTTGTTGAGAATTTCTATTGCAATCCATTTCTATAGCTGCTAGACTTTATAAATATGCCTCATCAAGACTAGACGTAATTTCTTTTAGTTTTTAGCTAATTTCTGTTTTGGTTTTGTTATTAATCATTTGTTGTAGTTTCTTTTTTTTGTTTTTAGTTCCTTCAGTGTTGCAAAACGGTGCCTTGATTTCTTGTGATATATAGTAATGTATATATATATATATATATATATAGGTGTGTGTATATAGTATGTATGATAAAAAATATAAAAGTGAGCATTGAGTTTTGTTGTCTTTTTTTTTTCTATATGTATATTACAAGTCGTATCCTTTCTATATATTGCAGATATATAACTGTTTGTTGTTATGTACTAGGTGGCACAGTTTTGTTTGTAGTTGTAGTTCGTGTAAATAATCTGGTCTGATCTGGGCTTACAAGAGGTTTACTATATGTGAATCAAAAGTTTATGATTTGGGTTCAACTCAAAGGCGAGACCTTGAAAACAATAATTCGATTTCTTTTTTCGTAGAGTATACATTGAAAACATGTAAATATCTTTTAGCTTTTGTACACATTTATCTACAGCGTTCGATCTCAGTTAGTGTTAGGTCTATCTGTGTATATATATATATATATGTTATGCTTGTAAGTATGTGTATTATAAACATTTAGGTTAATCCCATTTAAAAGTCTAGCTCAATCTTTTATACAACAAGTTCCGCTGAGGCTGCAGCTCGGCTAATATCAACTAGTATACGCTATTGCTATTTACGTTACGATATTACGTGGTAGTTGTTTTAATATATATATATATATTAATTGTTTGTTTTTTTATGGTATTTATAAGCTGGTTTCCATTTGTGTTATGAATAAATGCCTTTTACCCTTTAGCATAGCATAGCAGCTTTTGTTGCTTGTGTTTTAACTAATATATATGTATATATCTTTAGTTGCCTCATCTTCAACTCAATTAGTTCGACGTATTGTTCTGTGTTCGTGTGTTAAATATGTTTCGGGAATTGAAATTGTTGTTTGTTTCGCTTGTTTGCTTCAAATTGCTTTTCATTGTCGATACGTTAGATATAGTTAGTATACGAGTATGCTCTATATGCGTTACATGTAATTGTATATATAGGTATATATATTTAATGTACTTGTGTGAGTTAGGTATTATGTTATATGTTATGTTTAAGTTAAGTTTAAGTAAGCCTTTTATCAGAATTTTATGCAATTTACAAGTCGCGCTGCGATCAGGCAATACACGATATCCTTCTGATTGACACGCATAAACGCTTAAAAAAAATCTTTTAACAAGTTTTTAATTATTTTTTTTTTTTTTGCGTTGACCAATTCAAAGTTAAGTTACAATTTTGAATTTTGAATTTTAAATATTTTTGTGGTTTTTGTTTGTTTTTTTTTTAAATAGTTTTATACACGAACAATTTGTTTATAATAATAGTTTACTAACAATAACTAACAGCATGCGCTTGAAAATTGTTTTGTGTTTTTCTTAAGAACTCTCTTGATTGGGTTTCGGCTAAAAATTTACATAACTAATATACGTACAGCAAAGCGTTATTACATAATAGTCAACAAAAGTACAATTACGATATCATTTAACATTTCATTTCAAATATCTCCGTTCTATTCTGTTCTGCTCACTAAAGTCACACACAATAGATATATAGAGAGAAAATAGAGCTTGGCAGACAGAGTTTGCGTTCGGTTATGAAAAACAAGCTAGGCGTTTAAATATTCCCTTCTGAATTAGACACAAAGCTAACTTTCGGCTCAATACGGAGCGCTCTTGACTTAAGGGGAAAAAATTTGCTCATACGACATTCAGAGATTTGTATTCTGATTTAACAAACGTTTACAATTCAATTCAATTTCTTTTGCTAGCATACACAACAAACAAGTTTTTAAAAAATTTGAAAAATTTGCAAATTTTGCCAAATTATTTGGGTACAAATTGTGTGTTAGCCAGAGAGAGAAAGAGAGAGATAGAGACTATAAGAGAAAAAGAGATTGTGAAAAATTTTGTAATATTTTTGGTTTTGTTTTAAGATTTTGTTTCTTTTTTGTTTTCTCGTCATATTAAAAAGTTAGTTTGTTTTTGGTTTTTGCTAATATTTTACAATAAATATATATATATGCATTTATGCATATTAAATTCTTGCACAAATAGTTGTTGAGTCGTGCGTTTGGATAGTTTGCTCGTTATCGCGCCCTGTCGGCCTTTAACATCGTTTTAACTTGTCTTTAATGCTTTACTTAATGCCAATCAACCTCAAATTTTAAGCGTTCGTTTTCTCTACTGCATATTCATCTGTAAATGGTATTTAAATTGCTAGTTGTTTTTAATGGTAGAGTAGCGTAGCTTTTTGTAGTATTATATAATTCGTTTACCATAGTTTGTTTTTTCTTAGTGGATTTTCGTGAGAGGAATACAATTTTGCAGCTGTTCTTGTGTGTATTTTCCTTAAAACATTTAACAAACATTCAAAAAGAGTGCAGTGTGCAGTTAAAATTGTACTAAATACGGTTTCTTCATATTGGTTATTAATATTATTTTTTTTCTTTTGGTTTGGTTTGTTTAATTTTGATAAGTATTTGTTTCGATAAATGTTATTTTGTGTGTCTGGTATGTGGTACGCACTGCTTGCTTTACGTATGCTTTAACGTCACATCTCCTGCTGTGGTGTCTCTGGTATGTGGTACGCACTGCTTGCAGTACGTATGCCCTAACAACACTTTGCCTGTCTGTGGTATCTGGTATGTGGTACGCACTGCTTGCAATACGTATGTATTAACGACACTTCGCCTGCTTGTGTTGTCTGGTGTTTGGTATTTAAATGGTATTTTCTTTCAACTATTAGGCTTTAGTTTGTACACATGTATTCGTGTGTGTGCATGTATGTGTGTACGTATGTATGCATGTGGTGTGCTTGTAATTATGCGTTTTATACGATTATTTTTTACAAATTATTTGCTTAGGTGGGCTTTATACTTGTTGATGTTGTTGCTGTTTCTGCTAATTACATAAATAGTCAAGCATTATGTGGAGGTGTGCTCTGCATGTGTGTGTGTGTGTCCATGTGTCCATGTGTGTATTATTGCATAACATAAGCTGATCTGCTCGATTATTTGCTTGTTCTTGTTTTTTTTTTTTTACAGTGACTGTGGCTGATTCTCTGCTTCTTCTGCGTTATTAATGTGTTCTTACGGTTAAGGGATCTTTAATTATAACTTTTTAAGCTCTGGTTTCTTCATCTTATTTACTTTTATGTTTGCCATATAATTTTTGTTATTTTTGGTTGGGTTTGTGGATATTTTCTTACTTTTTTTTTTTTGGTATTTTTTTTTCGTTTTTGTGAAATTAAATATGCCTTCATTTTGGTTTTAGTTTAAATAATTTTTAACGACTAACCCTTTAGACTAAGTTGCTCGTTCATAATCATATTATTAAATACATAATACAACAATATGTTAAATAGTTACAGCTTTACACATTAGCGTGTGTATGAGTGTTATTTATTTTTTAGAAGTCCTAAGTTCAGTTACGGGCTCTACTCTTGGTTTTATCACTGGCTAAAAAACGTTGGAAGTGGGTTGCATTGGATTTGACAGAAAGTAGCGAGATAAGAGAGCTGCTCTACATATTCTTTTTTTTTATTTTATTTTTTTATATATTTTTAATATTTTCTTGGCAGTGTGATAATTTGTATTGATATATTGGGAATAGAAACAAAATCGAAAATAAATGGAAACTATGACAATTATTGATACATGAGCTAAAAGTGCGCGATTTTCAAACGAAATTGGATATGTATTCAAAGAGAGTTTGGTCAGAAGTCAACAAAACTGTATCAAACACACCTAAATATTATTATTATCATTTTTTTTTTGTCTATAGAGCAGCTCTTAAACTACAACAAAAGAGCACAGACGTGTGGATAGTTGGGATGGGAAATTGTTAACGGGAGCTCAGACAACAACATTGAATTGCATATTTGCTTACAGCATATCGAAAAGTTTCCAATTTCTATTCTGTGTGGGGGGGGACTACTTTTAAGCAGCTGGTGTAGAGAGGCGTGCGTAAGAGACATTGATAACTAGATAGGGTTGAAGAGAGAGGGGAGAGGGAGAGCGATACATTAGCGTTGAGGGGTTTTTGTTAGCACAATTTAACTGTTAACTGTTGAAAGCCGTTTGAAAGAATGTTCCAAAATTGTTCCAATTTAGCGATTCTGATTGTTGCTGTTGTTGTTGTTGTTGTTGTTTTTCTCATTTTTCACTGGTAAACGGAATTATTATGATTCTTGTAGCTGTTGCTACTGTAGCGCTGTTGCTGCTGCTGTTGATAATGCGCTGATGATTGCTGCTGCTGCTGCTGCTGCTGCTGATGATGATGATGATTGTGATGCTGTTGATGATGATATTGCTGCTCGTGCTCACGATGCTCACGGTGCTCACGATGATAAGCAGGATGTGCGCGTAGATGATGCTGCTGGTGTTCGTGTTGGTATTCACGTTCGCGTTGCTCACGTTGTTCGCGCAGCTGTTGCTGGCGCTCGCGATGATGTTGCTCCCGTTGTTGGTGTTGTTGTTGTTGCTGTTGTTGACGTGTTGGTGTGTGTGGCTCGCATGTGGGCGTCGCATGTTGCTGCTGCTGCTGCTGTTGCTCACGGGTTGGCGTCGCCTCGCGCGATGCTTTTGTTGGTGTATTGCTGCTGTTCAAGTGTGGTCTCTGTTGCTGTTGTTGTTGTTGTTTTGTTGTAGTTGCAGCTGTTGCTTGTGTTGTTGGTGTGTTGCTGGGTGTATTGGGATGATAGTGTTGCTGCTGCTGTTGCTGCTGCTGATGATGAGGATGTTGATGATGATTGTTGAGCGCAGAATTACTGCCATAGTTGCTGTTGCTGTTGCTGTTGCTGTTGGTATGTAGCTCATGAGGCAGTGGCGGTGGATTTTTAGCTTTTGTCAGCGGTATCGGTGTTGGCATTGGTTTTGGCGTCTCCGTTAAATCGATGCCCCATTCATAGAGGAACTCGAGTTTTTGTCGTTCCAATGGGTCACTAGCCGGCAGGGCAAGCAAATGTTAGGCTTCTAAAAATATTAACGCTGTTGGCTTCGGTTCCAAATTTGATTTTTTTGCTTCGACAACTAAGAAGGTTATTTCAGCCTTTTCACGATTTGCAAAGCATTCGGCTATCAATCGAGCAACCTCCTACAATGTTAACAATGCTCGTCAGAATTCTCATATGAATATCAATGCAGCTCACCTGATGATGTAGACCTTCCACCTTGGTGCCGTCTACCTCCAGTATCAGTTGCCCGACTTCCAAGCCGCCCGCTTCAAATGCCGCACCATTTTCCTACCCCAATTCGATAACATTTAGTTGGGATCACTTTATGAGTATGTTGTGTACTCACATGGATATTGATTATCCTAGGAAGCGGGTGCTTTGTATTAGCACCACCTTCGATAGCAATACCTAAAATTGGTTTGGTTTTCTTAACTGTAATGTGTAAGTTGCCTCTATGATCAGGTACGACGTTTGGATTGTGTTCATGTGTTTGTTCAGTCGTTGAACCACCGTTCTGCTCAGTTGACAGACGCTGCATGGACTAAGGGATCATGAAACGAGAGTCAAGCATAATATGTACACATGAAAATAAACCTGAGAAACGCTCAGACTTTGCGTACAATCATGTTGTTAAGCATAGCATAACTTGCTGTTAAAAGCTGCAAGATATAGTTTATAGCCTAAATTTACTAATGCTTAGTAATATGATTAATAAATATCAAATTTGAATGGTGTTTGTCAAAAGCTAAATATGTATAGATTGTGTTTGATTAAAGGCAAGCAAAGCTAAGATATAGTTTCTTTTCAAAAGTACTTTTTACAAATTTTAAGTAAAGGCATTGTATATTTTTTTAAGTGTATGTGGGCGGCAAACGAAATGAAACTTTAATGCTAAGGGAATCCAATTCTTTGATATTTTTGGTTTATTTAGTGTTTCGTTTGTTTCTGTGAGAATGGAGCATGAGATGTTGGTTATTTTTCTGTTGACCAAATTGCATTAAATTTTTGGTTTCTAAAAGTTTGTCGTGTGTGCATTTGTATGTGTTCTTGTAGAGATTATTAGAGTAAAACAAAACGTACTGTTAGAGCGTAAATTTGAATTTTAGCGAATTATAAAATCAAACCGCAAACATTCTTTTATCTAGTTTTATTTTGTTGGCATTCTCTGCGGACGTAGCTCGATAAACACGAGTATTTTGGTATTATTATTTTGGTATATTTCATTGGTATTATTTTCTGGTATTTATTGTGCTTGCAGAACGCACTTAATTGTAGCACTCACCTGATGCCTTCGTACACCTTTATCGCCCAGCAAAGTGCCGCCTTCTTCCTTCATATCGAAACTTCTTGAGAGTTTTGTGGCCAACTCCTAATTTATTTTTTTTTTTAAATATTTTTTGTGTTTTTTTTTTTTTTTTGTTTTGCATACGGTCATTTCGTAATTTTGGCCGAATTTTATGCAGAGTGCGCAAAGTTGTAAAGAATTTGTATTTTTTTTTTTGTTTTTGAATTGATTTGTTTTTACAAAATGTTGAATATAAAATGAAAATAGTAGAAAGATGTTTGCATAAGAATTGGTTGTATTTGTACTAAGAATTGTTGCTAGATAATAAAAAAAAAAACATAATTATCGTTGCAAATGCTGATGTTGAACTTTGGCAACAACAAGACGATATTGCGTCCATGTAAAGTGTTCTTCTTGTAATATGTTTTATTTACTTTTTGGTATTATTATGGTACAATTGTTTTAGTTTGTTTACTTGCAGACATACAAATAGATATGCAGTTGAGAAAGTATGGTATTTGAAAATATATATATATATATAGATAGATATATATGTGTACGTAGTTGAGTTAAAAGTGAAACGTACTTTAGAGTGTGGGAGGGTATCGGGAATCGTGGTGATGGTAGCAGAACAGCATATGCAAAAGCTTTTTGCGTGCTTGAGTGAATCGATTTAAATTGAGAATTGCTAACTTTACTGTGAACACTTTCTTGTTTTGTATAAATTTCATTTGCATACAACCCAAAGTATGAATTTTATGCATTGTGTATGCAATTGGCAAGTTAAATGCACATGAGTACACTGCATCTTATTGAGATACTCAATTGAAGACAATTTGATAAAGGATTACAATGTTGCGCTGCTTTTTCAATAAGTTGATTGTGGCAATATATCATTTGATATATGAAAACTTGCTGTGGGACTTGAATTTATATGGAATTCTTTGTAGGCTTATAATGAATGTTAACAGAAAGATTCCGATTTTTGATTCTCAGAGTAAAACAAATGTATTTGAAGGCGTTGTCAAGCAGCTTTCAAATGTGGCTGCCTTCCATTTGTCTATGAGCATTCGTTCAAAGCAGAGTTTTAATTAAATTTCAGTTGTCTGCTGCCTATCGACCGATAACTTTCAGAGTAGATATATTCAAATAATCGGAGGGTAAACATTTTTGGGTATACCTTTTAGAAGCTTTGTCGTTCTGCAATATGCATTAGATATTTCTAAACCCAAAACAGTTTAAGCAACAGAAAGAACCTAAATCTATTTTGAATGCCGCAATGTTATCGATTGGCAAATAAATCGATAGCAGATGAAATACACATGGTATCGATACCGCAGATCAAGAATACTCAACAATGTATTTAACAACAAAAAAGTACAATAAATGTTGCTTTTTAGATAAGCCTAAATTGTAATAAGTGTACTTAATGTGTGTGTGTGTGTGTGTGTGTGTGTGTGTGTGTATCTGGGTGCAATTTATGAGAATGCAAGTGCTGGTGTATGTGTGTGTGTGAGTGTGTGTGTACGTGTGTGTTTAAGTGTAGTGTATAGGCATTGCAGCTATACAAGATGTGTAGTCGGGATGTGTTTAAATATTTATAGAGTGTATTTTACGAAAGAAACGGCTTGCAAAACTTGGCAACTAAGACACTTAGATTTTTGGCTAGATTTTCAACAAGACTAGATTTATTGGCTATTTAGTTTCGATTTGTAAGGGTTTGGTTTTATTTTGGACAGAAAAGCGCTAACTAAAACTTCAAAAAACTTGAACTTATTTTACAGATGTGGGTATCTAGAGCTTTAGCTACGACTAGAGGTGTACGTGTGTGTGTGAGAAAGTGTGTGTGTGTGTGTGTGTGAAGGGCAGCAGCAGCTAAAGTTAAGATGAAAATATAAGAGGATTTATATAAACGCAAATGTACAAAAGTATGACAGGAGCGGAAAATCTAATTACAGGGCGAAACAAATTACCAGATGTATGTATATATAAATATATATATATATATATATACATTTACTACAAACGAAACATGAAAAGTTGATGGAATTGAAATCAATTTTTGCATGTGTCGATGCCTTTTGGTGGGGTTTTGGTTTGTGGTGGATTTTGGTGTTAACAAATTAGGTTGACTCATGCGTAAATGTGCAAATGTATTTTTCAAGCTTTTTCTTTGGTTGTTTGGCATTTTTTTTTGGCTTTTGGTTTGTTTTTTATTTAGTTTGACCTTTTTGTTTAATTTGCGTTGACGTTGTTTGAAACGTGTTGAATTATGATTTGTTAATCTTGCATTCTTTTTTTTTTGTTGTTAGTTAATATACTTACATTGACAATTACTTTACAAGAGACTAAAAAAACTCTAGTTAGTTTAAGGGAAACGAGTATTTTTTCTTGGGTGCGCAAGTTAAGAATTCGTAACAAACATTTAAATATAGTTAAGTACGTTAACTGTTTACGTTTTGATTCGGCTAAGGAAACAAATGAGCTCAAGTCAGAGTGTATGTGCGAGTGAGTGTGTGTGTGTGTGTGTGTGCAAGCAATTAGTTGAATTTTGAAACAATAAACGAGACGAGACGAGGTCAAGAACTAAAACACAATTCCTACGATTACAACAGAAAAACTGTATGCATGTGTGTGTACGGTTGTGTGTGCGTGTGTGTGTGTGTGTGCGAGGAACAAATGGAAATGCAAATTTAGTTTTTTATTATTATTATTTTTATTTGCACTCGCATTGTGCTGTTTCTTGCAAGGCACATACAAACAGTTAGTTAGTTAGTTAGTTGGTTAGTTGGTTAGTTAATTATTTAGATAGAGATAGAAAATAGACAGAGAGCGTACTTAGAGAGTGAGAGTGAGACAGAGCATAAAATAACATTATTGCAACAATACTAAAGTCAGGCTAAATTTGAATTTATGCGCTGAAAATGCAACGAGATGCAAATCCAAAAGTATTTCAAACATTCGCAAAGAACTCTTCTATTGCTTGTGACACAAAATAATTGTGTTTTGTGGTTGCTGTTTGTATTATTTCCTTTTAATTTTTGATTTTTTTGTTTTGTATTTTGATTTGTTTTTGTTTAAGGTTTTCGTTTTTTTTGTTTCTTTTTTTTTTGGTTTATAGTTTACTTTCGTTAAACGAAAAATACATTGGCACTTACAAGAGGTCGTCCCCAATACCATGATTTGACACGTTGTGTTAAACCACCCAAATGTGAACGTAGTCCATCTAAGTAGCCGCCCTGAAATGCACACAAATGAACAAACGAGAACAATTTCGGGGGGAGAACGGGTAAAGGTTGAGAAAGAGAGCAAAAGAGAGAGAGAGAGAGAGAGAGAGCGAGAGCACACAAAACAACTTAAACAGGAACAAAAATTAAATACTAACAAACTAAACAAAAATCATTGGACTAAAAACGAATATGATATACATAGATGTATGCATGTATATGAAAGTATGATTGAAACTTAAAGTGCCAACAGAACGAATTGAGAATGTGGTCAAAAGAAATGGTGTCACGAACAGAATTGAAAGTAAATGGGGTTCTGGAGCTGTCTTTTGTGATATGTGGGAATTGTAGAGCCATCAACTGCGCTCCTTTACATACTAAGTATATCAATGTTATCAATATTAATATATACGATTTTATATATAAATATATATAGTTTCTTTTACGCTACGTATTTATACACTTTTAGCTAAATAGGTTTTAAATCAGGTTTACGGGTATGTTTCTATTATTTCTAGTAAATATGTTTTTCTACATTGTTTAAATACGGCCCTGTGTTGTTCTAAATGATTTACTTAATGTCAAATACGATTACGACTACATAAAATGAGCTTGTAATTTATTTAAGACTATTTTTAATGATTAAACTAGATATAAATGTCTCTATCTTTATATAAATTAACATCTAGTTATCTTGGACTGCTAAATATTTGTTTTTCATATTGGTCTGCAAAAAAGATTGTCAATAAGAAATCGAACTGCTTCCTAGCTACAATGTTGCTGTCTGCCTCAATGTTGCTAGCAGCAAATGTTGCTTAGCATCAAATGTTGCCAGCATTTGGTTAACTGTGCTCAATAGCTGTTGCATACTTTTAGGGGCGCTGCAAAGCTTTGCTTCTGCCGCTGCTGCAGCGTAATTTTCCACTTTACATTTGCACCACATTTCTATGACTTAACTCAAAAAAAAACTTGGTCTATTTACTCATTAACTTGATTATGTCCGCAATTTAGTTTTGGGGTTTCGTTTGGTAAAGCGCAACAGCGGCAGATCGCAACGCACATCCATATTTCCGCGGCCGATTACAGCTAATGCATGGCAGCCGTAGAGATATTAACAACAATCAGTGGGAAATACATAGTAAAAATAGCGCTAAATATTTACAACGCTTGGGCAAAAGACTTTTCTTTTAGCATGTGCAGCTAAATTGGCTGCTTCCTTATTGTATTTTGTTTGTGATGAAGTTATTTATATATGTTTATGTATGTGTGTGGCTGTGTGTGTGTGTTTGTGGCTGTTTAGTTGGGCATGTTGTGTGAATGTGTGCGTGTGTGTGTGTGTGTTTAAAAGATAGTTTTGAAAAAAGTGCTTAAATTGTAACAAACGACGACGCATACGAAAAACGAATGCAAAGCGAACGCAAAGCGCTTACCTGTTCCTGTATTTTTTGTATTTGAGGTTTAGTTTGTTATTTCAGCCAGTTCACGCACAGATTAAAGAGCATGAGAAAGAGAAAGAGAAAGAAACAGGTATATGTGAATAAAATTTAACAACAATGGCAACTGTAAATGCGCAAGTGCCTGCTAAAACTGTTAACAATTAGACACAAGTTGACCAAAATGAAAAAGAAAAACAAAACGTAGCTCATCTCTTTTCATGGCCAAACGTGGCTTTTGACCATCAACTCCATACACAACAAATCAACAGCAGCAAAAAAAAAAAAACAAAAAAAAAAAACGATTGAGCAGATTTTCTGTTTACGTCATGCAAGAGCAAAACAAAAACGCCGACAAACTGCGGTGAGCAACAACAAGCGATGCCAGCCGTAGCCGCAGCCCCAGCTGCAGTGTGTCAGCTGCAGATACAGTATCTCATAGATGCGAACGTATCTGCTGCTGTTGCCGCTGCTGCAGCTGCAGCCATTGCTGCTGGCCATTGCGTAAAGCTTACAACAGACCGCTTACAACTCACTTACACGTGTACTTAACTTACTTATACATACATACACTTATATATATATATATATAAAACTATGCCTATTTGCGTATGGAAAATGATATACTAATGGGTGTGTATTACTTTTCTATAATAATTTTTAGCCATAAATATTGACAATCTTTTGGACAATCTGCACCATTTATAATTGTTGTTGCTGTCGTTGTTGCCTTTGCCTCGCTGTGTCGCTGCGTGTCATTTTTTTTATTACTGAGCCATAAAAAGTAACTGAAACGCAGACAGTCGGAGAGGCTTAAAGAAAGCCACACGCAAAGTGAACTACGAGATATTTAAACATTACAATTTCACAACAACACTTGAATGCCCTTTCCCCCTTCCCCAATGCCATGCACTCAAATGCGCTTTAATCTTATATTAAAGGGTTGCTTATCGTCTGAATCCTTTAAACACAGTTAAAAAGGGAATAATAATTTTGTGCAAATGTATGTAACAGGCCGAAGGAACTTGACTTGAAATATAACTGAGGTTTAGGTATTTCCAAAACCAGCTTTAAGAGCTGTGTCGTTTCGCACTGTAAGTTGAAGCAGCGACTCGGTTTTAGGAGCTTGTCGAGCTGCTCCCAAGCCAGCCCAAATGTATGGGAAATTTACTATACCCCATGGCAGTAGTGTACAAACCAAAACAGCGGCACTGACGACGCCGACATCGCAGTTGGCTGCTGTTTTGGCCGCGTCTGCATTTTCAGTTTTTAGTTGCGCGTCGTTGCTTGAAGCGTTAGGTTGGCCCAGGCCCATCAAGAGTCGAGAGACAAGCGACAAGAGAGGCACAGACACAGACAAACTGGAGACAGAGACAGCGAGCGACAGCTTCTTCGGCTGAGTTCACAATTTGTAAGATACAAAACGTGCGTATAAATAGTAAATTACGTGTAAATACCAAAAACTTAAACAAGTTGCAGGCAAGTTGTGGCGTTGACAAATTTCGCGTTGTTGCCGCTCATTTCGCGCTCTGTTTGCCACAAATTGTTGCATAAACAACAGCCGACTCGAACTAACAAATAATAAACAACATCAATTGAAAGAAGTTACCTGGGCTGCGTTTTCTTGCGGCCAGGCGTCAATTGCCCCGGGCACACGATGCTTTGTGTGTTTGTTTTTACCATTTTGCTTTTTGTTATATCATCATTGTGTGTTTGGGTTTTTGCAACATTTGGCCGCAAGGCAAGTGCAATCTTGCCACACACATGTGTCTCAGCCGAAATGGAGATGAGGCGACACACAGACACGTTGAAAGACTGTGGCAAACACTTTTTTGCAATCGCATTTGCATTTGCATTCAATTAACTTCTGTTGTTCACCTTCTGCCTGTTTTTGGTCTTTGGTTTTTGTTGTTGCGCGCTAATTTCTTTTGTTTATGGCTGTTTTTTTAATTGCCTGCAGCTAGGGGCTATGCCTCAACAGCTTCAGTTTGATTTTTTGCGCCGACTGGTTTTGCAATTAAGTTGCTTTCAGTCACACACAACTGACGGAAGTCAAGAGATTCTGAGCACACGTCTGCGAGCAGCCGCTAAACATTTCGACCTACAAAAGCAAAAACTAACTAAAGACTAAAGGGAAAGCAGTTAGCAGTAGGACGAGCTATAAACCGCGTCAGACAAACAAGAACGAAAAACGAAACAAGGCAACTGACAGCCAACAGTTAAGTTACTTTTACCCATAGTTTTCACTTGGCCAATTAGTTCTTGCCAACAAAAATAATTAGTTGCGGAAAACTATTTTCAAAAAGTCAAATTGAGTTGGACTTTTCAAGGCAGAAGATCAATGTCAAAATATTTTTATACCGAATAATTGACAGGCAGTCTCAAACTTAACTTCAACTTAAGCAAAATAACGAAATTCACAAGTGCATTTGTGAATCATAATAAATTTTCATTTAGTGTAAAAACTTTTGGAGAGAAATGTGCAATATAAGAGTAAAATTATTTATTGCATCACTTGATCAATATTTGACTGATGCTGGTTTCATAATCAATAATAATAATAAAAATTCAATTTACCCACAACAAATCACATAATTGCGCCCAAAATAAACTTTTCATCAGATACAGTTAAATAATTTCAATTCAATTCATTTCAAATATGTCAAATTTAAGATTTTTCACCTTGAACATTATTTTGAAATACGCCGCATTAAAATCCAATAGCCCAATAAATTGGCAACATTAACAGAGTCATAGAGCAATACGCACAATATATATATTTATATATATATATTTATATATATGTACATATAAACATATGTCAATGCGTATCTAATGGCAGTTGGGCAACTTTGGCCCGGGCTACTCGAGTTAGCAAGTATCTGTGAGATACAGCAGACAAATGCGGCTTCATTGAGGTCAATGGCATGTGTATATGTGTATCTGTGTATCTGTGAGGCTGTCTGCGCCGTTGGATTTGGTTACAAATCAACCAACCAGCTACATCCATATATATATGTAATATACATATAGACGACGAACCGCTGTGAAGTTTGCAAAGTCATAAATTTGATTGATTTTAAATTGTTGGCTCTAAGCGGATTTCAAAAAACTGCTGACTGACAAACTCAGTCCGTTTGAAAAATAATCCGTAAAAAAAAAAAATAGAAATAAAATAGAAAAGAAAACCTAAAGCTGGGACAGCTGGAGTACAGTTAAATGTGGGCTGGGCAATTGAACGTCAATTTCATTATTCTAACTGTTGGAAAATTCTCTTTCTGCTTTGTGAAAGTTTCGACGCGTCGTCGTCACTTTAACTTTTCCGTGCACAGAACCCGCCAACTTTTTTTGTTGTGAAACTTTTCAGCAGCTGGTTCTGTGCTCGCATCCAACTCTCAGTCTAACTCTCTGTCTATTAATCTTTTGTAAACAAAAGGTGAGCAGCTAATTTGCTGTCCAATTCACACCATTGTTAGCTAGCAAACCGGCGAGCAGATCATGCGACCATCTATTGTGACACCGTCTACCATATGCATATAACTGGCCATAATAATAATTATTATTTCTCGCTGCCAGATCAGCGCATTGACCCACAAACTAAAAACATGACAGCTGACCGATCGCCAAGCTGTCTGTCAAAGCGGCAAACGCCCCAACTTGAGCATTGTGCAACATGATTAAATGTGATATTCAGTTAACTGGGTCACAGTCCAAATAAAAGAAAGATGATGTCAAAAGCTTGGGAATAAATTGATTAGATTGGATGATGTAGCAGAATCTGAGAACGTGTTGATTATGTATATGCATAAATGATAGCACACATAATAAACTTACTTTCCCTGAGACAATTTGTCTGAATGATCAGTGAAATATTAACTGATGTACATATTGAAATATGCCTTGTAGCCTGAGAGAGAGGTTATTAAGATGTTATAAAAATGAATGCATAAATCTTGTTTTAATATATAGTTCACTCTTGCAGAGGACATTTTAAGTCTATCATATTAATTATAAAATAATTTAAATCGTGCTTCATTTTTCTAAGAAACAGCTCTTTATCATAATCCGAACACCTTTGTAAATCCATCGAGTGAATTAGATGAACACCTGACTCAGATGCAAATTCGTTAGATAAGGCAATTTAAACGGAACCTTGTAGAGAATATTTCATTCGTGTTTTCCTCAATATACCCAACTTTTCATAGCCAATTAAAACGGACACTAATCGTTCGCCCAAAGCAAACTGAAGCTGGTCATTAAACCTATTCCTAATAAATAGCAGACATTTAACTGAGCACCCGAGCATAGTAGTTGCCTAAAGTGGAAGCTGTGAGAACTTTTCTGTACTCTTCCCGACAGTTCAAAAACTAGGTAACTGTAAAAAATAAAGTTGCCAGCATTTGACACTGGCCAACACAATTGGATTCATTAGTTTGGCTGCTTAATAATGTTTTTGAAGACATGGCGAGGGCGCTCCCTCTCTCCCTCTCTCCCTCTCTCTCTCTGTCTACCTTCTCCCTTAGAGACTCGACTATTAAGTGTGTTGATTATGCTTTACACCCATTGACTTTTTAGACCGGATTTTGGATGGTTTTGTTGGCGCTGCTGCTGCTGCTGCTGCTACGCATCAAAATGATTTATTTAACGTCTATTTACATTATAAACAACATTTTTCGAGTTGCTTGTTTGCCGCTTTCTTGGACGCAACAACAACAGCAACAACCACTATTTACTTTCCATTTATGCTGCTCTTGACAAAGTTTTGTACCTTATTTAGTACGTTTCTCTAATGACCCACTTTGAGTTTTGGTCTTCGCCTGGCTGCCTGCCTAACTGCCTGCCTGCCGGCCTGCCGGCCTGCATGGACTTGCTGCTGCCGTTGTAACTTCAACAAAAAGTGAGTGTCGCATTGCCCAGACATCCACTTACAGCAACAGCAACAACAACAACAACAAAAAGTTGTTTGTCTGTTTTTAGTTGAAATCAAACTGGTTGCTTGCTCAGCCGGTCGCTGGTCACCGCTCGAAGAAGTCGAACTTGCCCCCTTTGCTGCCCCGTCGCACAGTGTCAGCTGTGTAAACAGGGCTAAGCGAGTAGTTCCCTCTCTGTCTGCCTCCCCGTCTACTTCTCTCTTTCAGCTCCAGCTGCAGCTGGCCATATTACATCCCAAATGGCTTCTGACAGCGCCAGACAGCTAACACACACATTGAACTTGCAGTCGATGCGTTGATTTGGACGAACGCCTTTTGCGGAAATTATTGCAATTTTCGTGTCTTTTGGCAACACAATCCACAAGCAACATTTGTTGCTGTTGCTATTGCTATTGTTGATGTTATTGTTGTTGTTGTTGTTGCTGCTCTTGTTGTTACTTTAAAAGCGGTTAATTTACTTTCACTTTTCGTATACTCCTTGCAAAGCAGGCACAATAGCTTTATAATGCGACTTGTTAGCCATTGAATAATGTCTACTATATGTCCACAAATACATACAGATAAATTTATGTGACAAATAATAAACAGTCCAATCTATTGGCGGTAGCCAGCAAACATTTTAACAGCTGTATTCATTATTTTGAATTCCACTCCAAAGCGTGGAATATGGGTGAAAGCCCGTTAATCACAACTACTAACTTTCAAGACCTCGTTCTAAGATCTATGTGAATTTCTTATCTGTAAGTCATAGAGATTCTAAGATCTATGTAAAATTCATTATCTGTAGTAAAATTAAGTTTGGTAGAAATCCACTCAACTTCGTGGAATGGGAGGAAAAAGTTGTTGAATGATAACTATCCAAAAATATTTACATATGTTCCAGAGTATAGGCATACAAATATGCTGAGGAATAGTTAGCCCCAAAGTATAAATAACTATGACCCAATTATTGCATTTATCCAACTAAATTTGATAAATGCCAATTTGGGTGGAAATAAAATGTAGCCCGCAGTTTGTATATGTAAATATTTACGGCTTGCAATATTTCCAGTACAACGGGCAATTGTTAAATTATTAAATTGTTTCATTAAAATTTTGAAAATGTGTGACAAATCAAGGTTTAAACAAAAACCTGTGTGGAAGGCGCTGAAAGGCAGGATGCTGGTTCGAATTGGCAACCATTTTTTGTTGGTTTGGCAAACCTGATTTAGACACACATTCATTTTAAGCTGCACTAAGCGGTTGTTTGTCCTAGTCAATCGGTCGTATGTTTGGCTTTAGCTTTGTCGAACTGCCGACAACAAACAACCCACACCACGCACACACACACCGCTTGGCATTTGCAACTTGGTTAAAGAACAACAAATCGGACGATTCATTAAAACAACTTAACAAATCAACAGGCGGACAAACAATTGGCCCTTCAGCATGGAAACCTATTTGACCGAGATCAAACAATTGCGCATTCCACGCCCGAAATTCGAGCCGAATAGCTGCCACCAGCAGCACCAGCATGCAACGGCAACGGGAGCGACAGTGGCAGCGGGAACGGGAACCGCGACAGTGACATCGACGCCCCCACATCATCATCAGCTTCAGCTACAGCATCATCATCACCACGCCCATCATCAGTGGCGACACTTTGTGCGGCCCTTTACACCGCCACGCGATTATCACTTGCCAGTTGTTGGCGGAGCCGTCGTCTGGTCGGCAGCGGAGGACAGCGCCACGCACGACAAAATGTAAGGGAGGAGCCAAGAGTTAAGCTGGTGGAAAGTGCGGCAGGGCTCCACCGAGCTCGTAGCTCGGCGGTCTGTTTGAGCTCAATTGGATTGCATTGACGCTGGCTTTGCTGTTGTCGTATTGATTACACTACCAATATGTCGAGCGAGAGAGAAGAGATATATATACATATGGTATATATACACACATGCTATGTATAACTATAATCTATCACGAGTTTAAAGCTCTTTTGCATAATTTAGTGCTTAAGTTTAGTGTCTACAGTGGTAAGCTTAGGTTTCCTATATTAGCTATACAATAATAATAAAATCAAAGCTTGTCAAGTGTTTGAATCGATTTTTGTGTTACTTGAAAGAAACTCTGAAATGGTATTATATAGTAAGTATATTTGTATAGGCATGTTTGGCGATGATATGACATGAGAACTTCGTGACATGAAATTCAATACTAGCAACTGGGCTTATTCTGCAAATGTACCCCTATAGAATACCTCTAAATACCGAATGCCTCTACACGTTTCAAATTACGGCCCTAAGGGTTTATGACCTTGTTTTGGTTACTCACCGCATCTTGTTCATATTCCGGTAATAGGGTTTCGCTGCCCCGGCGAGTTCTATGCTCATCACAGCCGTATTCCTAAGCCGGAGACAGAAAAGCGAAAAAATCATTTTTGAGATTTTCTTTGCGTTTATGCATAACAACAATAGCCAATTTCAAAAGGCCTTTTCAATTATTTGGTCAATTAAACTACGACAATTAGCAGCCAATTGGACAACAGAAAAATATAAACTTAAAGAACATTAAACAATTGCACAATTAGACATACACAAAACATGAAAAGAAGTCCTCTTCAAAAGAGCACACACATATAGAAATGTCAAGGGACAGAATACAAAAAATAAATAAAACTAAAAAAAAAACACACAAGACAAGAGACAACACACAATATAGCGGCTCGAGACGCGCCGATTTAGATCCGAATGTCAATTTTTCTTATATATGCAATACAAATTAAGTTAATAAAGCAGAGAGAAAGAGCAGAGCAGATAAAATAAACCAGAGTTATTAAGATATCAAGAGCTAAGTTTAATTGAGAGTAAAGGCATAAAAAGGATTTAATCAGAGAGAGAGAGAGAGAGAGAGAGAGAAATAGCATATGAAAGATAAATTTGAAAATAAAAAGAAATGAATATTGTTTAGTTTAATTTGGAAATTTTCAAAGCTTATTGTTTTTGTTTTTTTTTTTTTTTTTTTGTCGAATTCGAAAGTTTTACTCAGTCTTTTCCAATATAGATGAAACATAAACAATTTCTGTTCGCACAGCTAATTATTTGCCGGTTCTAATGGAAAAACTATGGATAGTTCTTGGAAAGTATTTAGCAGAAACAGAGCCAGGAAAGAGTTTTGGAGTAGTGAGAGTTCTAAGTGGTGCCAATGGGACGCTAGATGCTTCACGCAAATTCCTGACCTGTTGCTGATTGTCTTTGGCTTGTTTGAGTTTAAATTGATTTGGTCCCAATTGCTGCTGGTGAGGATGACGCACATTTCCAACGCCGCCGCCCAGATGACGCAATGAGGTATGATGTGGTGGATAATGTTGTTGTTGTTGTTGTTGTTGCTGTTGTTGTTGTGGTTTTGGTGGCGGTGATGGTGATTGGTTGCTAGCTGCATGTGATGTTGCTGGCTGATAATGCTGTGAACGATGCAGTATTGGTCCCGCCGACATGGGCCGATAGGGCAACTGTAGTGCGGGTCTATCAATGGGTTAACGAATACAGATACAGATACAGATACAGATACGCAATGATCAGTTCTTGGTTGTTGTTGTAGTTGTATGTGTGTCAGGTCTATTTGATTAGGTGCTCAGTGTTTAGGTACCGTTTATGTATATCCGTTACGGTCATGCCCAGACCCGAGTCCGACGAGGGACTGCGTCCAGTAGCGGCGCTTACTTCCATGTCGTCAGCTGTTACCTGTTGGGAATGGAATGGAACGAACGTTTTGTTGCATACGATTCAGAGACAGACAGAGAGAGAGAGTGAATGTGAGAGTGAGACAGTGAGAGCGTGACAGAGGGAGAGAGAGAGAGAGAGAGGGGTAGACAGAGCGAAATATGAAATAGGGTCTACGGGCTAGGCCAGAACAGATTTACAGAGCTATCTACTGAGCATAGACAGCGCAGACAGAGTGTGCGACAGAGAGGATCGCAGAGCGAGAGAGTAAAGTGATCAGTGCATAAGTTCTTCACGAACTATACTTCATTTCGAACATATATATATTAACATGTATATATATATGTATATTGTATTTTAAAGCTTTGCTTTCGATAAGTGCCATGTTATGTATTAAGCAGAGTTTTGGGTGATTTATCGGTGACTGCTGTTTGTTATTATGCTTTAAGTGCGCTTTTGTGTGGCTAATATTACTTCATAGATATATATATATATAATTTGTTATATGTACTTAAATCCGATTATACATGTTTGAATTTCATATTTTACAATTAATCATGTTGCTTAGATATCTAAACCTAAACCAATGTACGGCTTGTCGCGCAATATCGATGCTTATCGAGGTCTTGCACTATCGATAATTTGAGCAATGCACAGCTGTAGCTTCATCTGAAGCAACTGTACTTGCTACTTATGCCTAGAAGAAAAAAGAATTTGTGCAACTACAAAAACTGCATTGTTTAATTTGTTGATTTAATTGCTTTTTGGTTAATTATTTTTTGTTTATTTGTTTTTTTTTTGCTTGTTTCTTTTCTTGCATTTTGTAAAGTAAAAATTGACATTCGTTTTGGTTCGATTTTTGTTTGCAAACCAAACAAAATCTGAAGCCGAATCAAAGAAAGCGAGTTTCAAAAAGCGTTTCAAATTGAGAGACATGCAGCAAACACAAAACTATAAACTATAAAGCATAAACAATAACAAATCAAAAAAAAAAAAAGAAAAGGAAAGTTAAAGACAATTATACATTTTCCTACTCGAAGAACAATTAAACTACAAGTTTTTGCTTTATCTGACAAGTGTTTTGTATTTTGCTGTGTATTGAGTACTTTTATTAGTATTTTGTTGATCGAAAGTAAAATTGAACTAAAAAATTACAACAACAACAACAAGGACAACAATTAACAACAACAATAATCTGTTAAACAAAATTAATATTCCGAAACACAGTAGCTGGACATATTCGTAGATACACCACATATAAGTGTGTGTATATATATTTTTGAAAAGAGTATTCAAGTTGTTTGCTAAACACTAGACGAATATTTAAGTTGTTTTCTTTTTTATGTCGTACAAAAGTTGAACATGCTTAACAGTTAGTTGTACACAGAACTTGCTAGGTATATATTGTGTCAGTGTCGTAGAATAAATCTTCTAAAAAGCTTACCGGCAAATCACGTGCGGAGTCTCCTTTACGCTGCAATGAATCAAGTGGGGAATTGGCATTAAACGTTTGCCAAAATGGAGTCTAGTTGCGGCTTGTATCTTACCCTATGCCTATCCACGCTATATGGATCGCGTTCTCTGCGATACACAAGCTCATCGTAACGTGTACGATCCTCCGGAAAAACGAGCTCACGAATTTCCGTCACTAGCGTGTGCTAGAAAGGAAATATATAGACATAGTTTCGATCATTTGGGCTTGAGGCATCTCCTGATGTGGTATTTACCTTTTCGTACGTATCTAACATCTCTAATAAGACGGCAACAAAGGCATCTATGGTCATTGCTTTCACACTATATTCGGCAATATAATACGAAAGACTTGCAAAATGATGACGTGGCAGCAGCGAGCGCGCCTTCTCCTCCACCATGGTCGTGATTTGACCTTTTCGGCGTGCTCTGCAAGCGACACATAGATCGATCGAGTATTAATATAGCTGGCATTGTATATGCATATAGATTGGTTGTTATAAACAGGGTGGAAAACCAAAAGGAACTTGTTGTTGATTACATTTACGATTCGAACCAACAACCTGCTTTAAAGTTTGATTCCTAAGGCTGGTTTTCTACATTCTAAAAGAAGCCTTTTCAAAAGAGGTTCGATAGGGTCCATAGTAAGAAATGTATAGGAATTTCAGAGCATCGAACCAGCTTGCAGCCTGGCTGATGATTGCTTTTGCCTTCTGCTTACCTCGTGCCCGTTGGACTGTACGCATCCCAGGGCTCCATTTCGATGGATGTGCAGGAATGCGGCACCTTGCCCACGTCACGTATCACCAAGGACATGCGCTTGTGATACTTCAGCTGACCGACGGCCTCGTCGTGCGTCACATCGAGAAACGACTGGCCGTTGACCTCCAGTATTTCGTCGCCAATCATTAGACCGGCACGATCTGCGACGCTATCCTTGTCGACGCCCGTGACAAAGATGCCCAGGCCGTACTCGACGCCGCCGCGTATCATCAGGCCCAGCGATTGGCCGGGCTCAATGAGCAGCTCGACGCGGCGTACCCTGAACGGATGCCAATTGGCATATGTTATATATATTGTCTATATAATCTCTAGGTAATCCGCTTACCGATCTCGGCGCTCGTTCCGCCTGCCACCATACTCCATGGGCGGTGAGGCCGGACGGCCGTGTCGATCCATCCAGGAGCAGGTCTGACGAAAGGGCAGACCCGATCCGCCGCCGCCGCCGCCGCCGGCCGCTGCCGCATGGGCCGCTGCAGTCTGTGGTAATAGGGGGGCCATCGACGCGTACATTGGATCCCGCGAGGGTGGACCAAAACCGTGCAGCGGCGCCGTCGAGTTCAGCGTGGGCGGCGCTCGCACCGTCATACTGATTTGACGTGACGATTTCAATATCTGCACACATCTCTGCGTTAAGAAAAAATGTGGCAATAGAAGAGACACAAAAGAGAGACGGAAGATGCAAGCAAAACGAACGAACGATAGAATGGAGCAAAGAGAGAAGAAAATTGTCAAACCAAAACCAAAAGCGGGTGGCAGAAAAAGATGTAAAATTTCCAAAAACTAAAAAAAAAAAAAACAAATTTAAAATTCAACAAAATATTAATTCAAGGCGGACATTTTGCTGTACTATTGTGCGCTTTATTGCGGTTTTACTGTACCATTTCCTCTCGTTTTAGCTGTTACAATTTTAATTGTCTCACCACAAAAACTCGTACGAGTCGAGTTGTTCTAATTGTTTGGGACAAAAGTGCGAAATGTCATTTGTTTTGTTTTAAAATAATCCCAAAAATTTACCCCATTTGAGTTTTATAGCTATTGTGGTTGGGCATTTGGACAAATTGTTAGATCCCCGAAACAAATGTGTTTCTGGGTGAAGTTCTTTGGTAACTTGTACTGAGCCCTTAGGACTTTAATAAATATATGTTAAATTTCTAATTTGCCTTGACTTTGCAGTTGATGGTTAAAGACAAATTTGTGACTGAAAGTTACGAAAGGTCTTTAATGGAATAGCTTAGCACACAATCTATAAGAACTCTAAGAACTCATTTCCATCAACCAGATCTTTTATATAGTTTGGCAATTAATTGAATTCTTTAAAAGTACAAGTTCATATTGCAGTACACTGTAAGAAATGATTGTGTTTATTGAGTGCTTAAGGCAGATTAAACAAATTCGTAATAAATGAAAAGCATATTGAGAACAAAAACACGATTCTAGAAATAGTTGAAAATAAATCAAATGAATATCTTCTATTTAAGAAAATAATGTTACAATGTGAATTCAATGCGACTAATCTATTGCCAATTTTTTCTCAGTGTATATTTGTATTAGTGTTTTTTTTTTTTTGTTCAATGATGTGTATATCGTTTTTCGTTTAGTAATATTTATACAAACAGTATCAATATATGTAAAGTGCAAGATATTAGAAAAAACTACCAAAAATCGTTTAGAGCATAGAACGAGTTCAGCAGAGAAACGCGAGAGAGAGACGGCGGAGGAGGTGGGTAACTACATGTACAATACTAGAGACCAAGTACGAGTTATTTCACGACTATTGACAAACAAATTTGTCGAAAAAATAAATTTTAAATTGAAAAGCAACGTGGGAAAAGGCACAACATGTGCCAGGCCCCGAGTTCCCGATACGCCGACTTTTCTAGTCTCCTGGTCCTAGTCTAATGTCCTTTGTTAGAGGCACGCATAGTGGCACCAGCTACTGCTGGAATATGAGGAATTATATTGACTATCATAACGTGTCACATAAAATATTCCACAATAAATTGACTTTCGTTGTCAGCAGCGTTGGCAGCGCAGCTGTCTAACTTGGGCGAGTTGGGGTTACAAGCGCCAGGGCCACGGGTTGCTGTCCTGGTGGCGGGGCTAAGGGGTTGATGGGTTGCGATTTAGGTACTTTGACAAGTGGCGCACATAAAAGGCGATGGCCTACAGCTACTCAAATGCATTGCCCCTTATCGCAACTATTAACAGGCAGACAAGCAGCCTATCGAGCGAAATCACATTAAAAATCAATAAAGTGTACAATTAAATTATCTTTTTGAAAGGAAGATTTTGTCGTTGTCCAAGCACAAGCTGAAGGACATGCCTTGTCGTTAATCATCCTTTCTTATAGTCACTTAATATTCTAACAAAAACTGCCGTTTAATAATGTGTAAGAAAAATACAGTGAACGCTCGAAAAGTTGCAACTTATAATTTCTAGAATTCTAGAATTTTAAGCAGCCACTTAGAAGTATATATATATGTCAAAATTGTTTCTCGTTTTAAAGAAACTGTGAGATTGCATTCTCTTTAAGAAAAGTTTTTGCTATGTTCGAGCACCCACTAAGACTCGGCTACTCTCTCATAATGTGCTCTAATCGATTTTGCGCTAGATAACAACATTAGCTACTGAAAGTACATATTGAAAAAATAGTTTTGTAGAAAATCATTTGCAGTTTGCTCACCTTAAGCGCCTCCTCGTGATTGATTGAGGTGAATGGCGTGCCGTTCACCTCTAGGATTGTATCACCGGGTCGCAGGCCGGCGCGCTCCGCCACCGAATTCTCCTCGATGCGTGAGATGTAAACACCTAAGCCTGTCGATAAAACACACAAAAAAAAGCACACACACACACACACACACAAAAATCAATTAGCAAGCGGTGCGCATTAAACTTTTATTAAAAGACACACCACACCACGCCCTGCACCGCCCACGGCTAGGCCCATTTTGATACCCTTTACCAAATTACAAAGGTATCACCAAACGAAGCGAACGTATGTAACATGCGGTCGGAAAGTATATATGTATATTCTTGACCAGCATCAATAACTGACTCGAGTTGTCGACTTTGTATTCTTATCACTTCGTATATTAAGCTTAAATGCATTCTTAGCCTAGTTTCAAATTGGCTATAGAAATTCAACAGCTTTCCCAGGTATCCGCAATTGAAGTCCAGAGCCTCGGCTCATACGAAAGCTAAACATATGACACGCGCACTCTGATAAGGGACATGGGAAAAATATTTCACCTTAGGTTCATCGTTCTCTGATTCCCCATTAAATAAATGTTATAGGCATAGACCATTAATGTTTAGTACATCTCTATGAAGAAGCAATGTAATTACGTATACGAAGCTAGATACAGGGTATCCAAGCACTCTCGTCGAAAGCATTTTAACTTAATTTGTTGTGTCTGTTTTTTGTAAGCCTTTTTCATTAAGCGGGTTTCTATTTGGGTGTGTGTGTGTGTGCGTGTGCGGCCATATGTGCCGAAAAGCGAGCAGAAGCAGCTCACATTGTGTGAGTCAATGGAGACGATAAATTGATAGATGAAACGACCCCGTATACGCGACTGGGCGACTTAAATAGATTTTTTTTTTTATCGATTTTAAAACGGTCGCACGTTGAAAGTTAAAAATAAAATGCCCGGCAATGAGTGGTGGAGCGTGCGATGGGCATCAGGGGTTGCAGGCAGAGTCATGGACAGGTGCAAAATGCGCTTGGAAATGTCAAAGCTGTTGGCGTTTCGTAGCACTAAATTGAATGTACAACAAACCGACAGACAATAGAATCGAATTGAAAATTAAATTGCATGAAATGCTCTCTAAATTCCGGCCAAATTGAGGTGCCACACATCGCCACACACGTGAGAGAAAAGCAGCTGAGCCTCGAATCGACTGGGCGTAACATTGCATCAACTACAAACGTCAAGGAGTTCCGTGCCCCCCTTTCCCCTTATACAAACATTCTCTGCCAAGCTACATTCACATATGCTTTTCGCTGTAAATATAATCCAATGGCAGGCAGCTTGGAGAACTGCGAAGTCTTGTGCTCTTGAGCCTGACAAGGATACCCAGGCAAAAAAGCCCCCTCTTATTTGGCCTCTTTGTACTCTCTTGACCATGGATTTTAAAAGTAGATTGGTTTTGCCCAATGCTTGTCTGACCGTGGACTAGCCCCCTTTATAGCCTCTAAAATGTTTAAATAAATCTATCCCCTGCAAAGCTCTAAGCACTTGAAGCCTTTTTACAGTTTTTGAATCCTTTTTCGCACATACAAAATTACTTTATGGAAATTGCTTAAAAAGCAGATTTTCTATGGTATTTGTCATCTTTTCTTTCAGTTCACATTCCTTTAAGTCTTAGAACTAAAGCAAGGTCGAATCGCAGTTTTTGCCCCCTTTAGCTCACCTGAGTCTTTGCCTCCTTTGACGCATATACCGAAGCCGTGATCGACTTGCTGATCACGCGACATTGAAACGGTGCGCGTCGTAAGTTCATGTATGTTGGGCACACTCCGATCCCGATCTCGATCGCGATCCCGATAGATCTGTATGAAAATGAAAGGTTAATCGTTTAGCTGCTGTAAAAATGGAATTGCTTGGATTTACCTGATGCGTTGTCGAGGGCGGACTGCTGGCCGGACTGCGTCGGCCTGCGCGATCCCGATCGCGTGTGCCACCGTTGCTGTAGTGATAGCTACTCGTAGGAACTGAAGACGACTGTGTGGCGCCGAACATGCGCAGCACCTGCTCCGGCGATATGGCCCGCTTCTTGTTGCCATTGCCCATGGCCGAGGCGGCATGGCGACCGCTAGCTGCCGTTGATGTGGGCAGCGTGCCAGCCGTGCCGGCGGCCATGTGGCTAGAGGGCGAGGAGCTGAGATACGCTGAGCCGCGACCAGGCAACGAACCACCCTTCGTGGGCACACCAGCCGAATTGTAATAGTAATGCGGCGAGTGTGGACGCTCAACGATTGTGTACGATGTGCCCGGTGGCGAGTAATAGAGACCGGAGCGACCGCTGCCGCCGGCACGCAGTGAACTGGTGCTATTGCCCACACGGGAGCCAATGCCGCCGGCGCTGCCGCCGTAATGAACGTGCCCGCTGCCAGGTGGCGGACTGATCATGCCAAAGGCCAGGCCAATGTCCTCGGCCTCGTAACTGTTTGGCGCTGCTGCGCTGCTCCGTAAATGATGTGCGCTGAGGCCAGCTGAGCCGCCCGTCGGTACGCTCGATGATGATTGTGTGGCGCCTGGTACGCCGATGCCACCAATGCCGATGCCGGCCGCATTTGCAGCTGCTGCTGTTGCATGGTAACCATAACCGCGTGCACTCCAACGTGATGGTCCAAGATCGCATAATTCGGCATAATCATTGCCAGCTGCGCTCATTGTCAGGGGGTCACCGTCGTATGGTATACCACTACCCCCAAGGCGCATTACACTGTTGGGGCTGCTGCTGACAGCAGAAGCAGACACAGACAGCGACACAGAGAGCGAGTGAAAGAGGCAGAGAACGGCACAGTTAGTTGTTAGTTAAACAAGTGAAAATAGGCTAAACCCCCCTCTCCTACCCCCTCCACCGACTCAGACCGACCGCAGCTTTTTGTTTGCATTCGCTCATTGCGAACGCAGCCGTTAAGCCGCAACTCAGCCACGCGCCTAGCTGCGGTTCCCATTACAAACAATGGCTTAATCTCCAGAGTCATATGTTTTCACACACACACACACACAGACACAAAACACACTCATGCGCGCACACACTCACTTATGCATACGCAAAACTATGGCCCATTTGTTGGTTGCCATCCTTTGTTTCGAAATCAATAGGAGAACCTACTACAAACTAGGCTCTCCATTATGCATGTGCATATGCTAACTTTGGGCCAAACAACTCAAGTCCACCCCACCCCCGCACTCCTGGCACTCTTTTCCCCGCATGATAGCAACGGAAAGCGATGCTCATTAATTCATAGACCAAAATTGCGATGCTCACTTTGGCACTCACTTAGCCGATGAGTCCAGCTTTTACATTGATATTGTTGCTGAGGTTTATCTACTGTGTAAAATATTAAAATATAAAATAATAATAATAATATTTTCCTTTTAATTATGTTAAAATATTAAGGAACTCTGAAGCTGTCTACATCTGCGATAAATATTTACATAGCCAAGTTAATCAGAGGCTAATTTAAAATATATGCATAGCTTAATAAATAATTCAATTACTTAAATGAAAGTTATAAATTGAAATAGAAATAAACGTATCTGTTAGTCGCCCAGTTTAGTATATTTCAATATTGGTTTTAATTCAATTTTCATAATTTGTCATCCTGTTTAACCGAACGTACAGTTTTTGCAGACACAGCCTGACTTTTAATATTGTGTTAGATAAATTTCAAATTATAATTTATGCTCAATTATAATTGATAATTCGACCTAAAAAGAAAAAAACAGATTCCAGCAAATGCACATTAATAAAGCCTCCCTGCAGATACCAGTCAAAATGTGCTCAATAAATATTTATATTAAAAACGTTCTCCATTTAAAATTGCAGCAAATTGATGAAACTATTAACTCGTAAATTGGACCTGCTTAACAATAACAGCTTGTTCACACATCTATGATTAAATATTTTGCTGCCCCTCGGGGCGGATATATCCATGCATAATGGCCAGCTATAGTGCTTAGCCCTAACAAGCAGCCAATAATGTCCTTTTTGATAAACGGATACACATTTGCATGTGTTTCCACTGCAAATTGGCAAGCAAATGCTCCATATGTCTATATGGTATGTACATGTGTGAGTGTGTAAGTGTGTGTGTGTGTGTGTGTGCATGTATTATAAATTCATATGTGCATTTGTATCAATAAGGAGCATCAAGCTAGATATATATACATACGTACGATTTACTATATATGTATGTGTGTATATATATATATAAATGTGTGTGAATTCATTTGTATATTTGACAATAAATTGCGAGCGTGTGTGTGAGAGTTTTTCGTTTTTATTTTTTGTGCTTGGCAGGGCTTTGTTGTAGAATAAACAGCCAGGCTCTAACGTATTTACTCATGACCTTGCTTTGCAAAGCCAACAACAATGAACACACACACACACACACACAAACACACGCACACTCGCATACACACTGATGGTTGGCGTCGCCTGGCGTTTGGCGCTGTCCCAAGGACATTTTTCATGTGCGCATTGTGACATTTTTGGAATTTGTTACTCGGGCTTGTGCCAGGCAGCAATCGCACAGTGTCTCAAAAAATAAAACACATTCGACAAAGCTATCAATTAAGGCAATGCCCATCGATGGCTTTTAAAGCGCATCAGACATGTTAATGATGCGCAACGAACGATAGTCGAGAGTTTAGCCAGGCCAATTATTTTCATCACTGAGCAATGGGCTTTCGTACCACTGTGCCTTTCGTTTTTTGTATGCTCGTTTTGTTATTGTCATTGTCAATGGTCGCCTGGTTTTATTTGATTTGAAAAGTAACTGTTGTACAAACATAAATACATACGTAAACATATTTATAAACGTACATAGCACTCATATTTATGCATACTTCCTTACTTCACTGCCCTTACGACGGGTATTCTAATTGTGGCTAGCGATATTTTTTATTTTTTATTTAACAACCAAACTAGGCCCTGAATTAGGAGTTTATATTGATGAGATTGTTTGCGTATGTCAAATCAGAAGACTACATTATCGAATAAACTGCATCAAACACTCTAAGGTTTAAAGGTTTAATTTCAATATATATCAAACATTCTCTATTTGCCGACAAGGGTATTAAATGTTCGTTGTGCCCTAGCTACTCAGCTGTTTATGGGCGCTCACAATGTGAAAAGAGTATATTAGGATTTCACATTTCCGTTTGTACATCTTCTCGACAATTCACTCAAGACGATTATATGATTACGCCCACTGGAGGCGTGATAAATCGAGAAAATCTATATCTATATATCGAGAGTTTAGGAAGTGGAATTGGGCATTAAGTTGAGCTCCTCTTAAAATCGATCGACATCAGATATTCAAATCGTGTATATCTCTCTCTCTCTCTTTTCCTTGAACAAAGCTAGCGGGTATCATGCAGTCGTTCACAGCCGGTCGCAACATTGCGACTTGATTATTTTATTTTTGTTTAAGACAGCATTTGCCTGGGCTGTCGTCATGAATGTTGTGGGCACATTTTATCTGTCGTTGTTTTATTTATTTTGCTGCTTATCGCATTGTTTGCTGCTCGTGACGCCAAACTGCAATTCTCAGAGTTATTTTTTGCATTTTATAAAAATTTGCAAGCGCAATTATGACTGGGCCAATATGGTTGTTGTTGCCTTGACGCCATTGTGTCGTGGCGCTCAGAAGTATGCTATAAAATACTTTGTGCGTAAGTGGGCTGCGCTTTTATTTATAAATAATTGATGCTTTATATGTGCCCCGGCACTTAATGCGTACTCCTCTTAATAGTTGCTGAAGGCATATTAAAACATTAAGCAGTCAACGAGTTTTTTCGCCCATTTTTTTTAAATTATCGCCTTTTCAAGGGAGGCTATCTGTGTGTGTGTGTGCGTGTGTGTGTGTGTGTGTGGTTGTGCGGGCAACTGCTGGGGTTCGAGCATTCATCAACTTTTTTAGCATTATTTTGGCAGGGCTTTGCACAAATATTCTGGGAAGTAATTATGATAAATGCAGGATGTGTCTGTGTGTGTGTGTTTGTGTGTAAGCCGCTGGGTTTGCCATGCGGCATGTCGAACTTGTAACTGGGTTAATTGCGCGTAAAAACAAAAAGGTAGCGCACCGCAGAGACTATACACCTATGCACGTACCAGCCTGTGCGTGTAAATGCTTTGTGTGTGTGCGTGCCCATTTCCGCTTGATGTCAATAAATCTTAAATATCTCAGAGCTTAGCGTAAGCCCTAACAACGTAATTGTTGAGTTATGCACAATGCACTCGAGCCGAACTGATTATTAAATAATATTAACAAGAAAAAACAGAGCTTATACAACATTTCAATCATAAAGACATGTATTCAATTACGATCGATTTTAATTAAATCCAAGAATTATTGCACAACAAATTCAAGCAGAAGAAAATTGTTAGGAAAAGTAAGATATCATATTTCATACGAAAACAAAACATATATATATTAAATTGATGGTAAATATGGGGAGCATGTTTTAAAAACAAATATGATTAAACCGATAGCCCAGCATCGCCATACACTGTCAACCCAACGCAAGTCGAATGATTATCAAGAGGATTTATACTGTCAGAGCCTGCGTCTAGTGGGATAATTATGTCACATAAATAATCTCAACTGGGCAGAAGACCAACGACAGCTTTGAACAAAAATAAACGCAAGCCAAACAAAGCAAAGCTCCATAAAGTTCACACAGATACACATACACACCACACACACATACACACGCACACATACACACATAATGCCCTTTTACATGTATTAATAAGCTTTGAGCATGTTAAGGCTCAATTACCTGCACAAGGGCCGTTGGCTATTTAAGCCAGCCAAACTCTGAGTTACGAGTATTGGTTAGCTGTGTCTCTCTCTGTGTGTGTGTGTGCGTTGGAGAGTGTGTGTGTGTGTATGTGTGCGGGTATCTGCTAAAAATAATAACAAAGTTCACTGAAACTACACGTGCCTGGTGGAAATATAGTATTCTCTGCCTATAATGACAACCCCACTCAACTTGGTGACAGCTTAAAACACGTGACAGGCCTTCATTAAAGAATAAAAAACAATTTCACTCCAAAATGAAAGCCTCACGCTCCCTTCCTCTCTCTCTCTCTCTCTCTCTCTCTATGTCTCTGCATCACTAACTCACGGATTACATTTACAGAGAACACTCACTTGTATGAATAGCTGCATATGCTCTTCTTTAATCAACCATATGATGAAATATTTACACATTATCCAGGGCTGTGCTCGAAATTGATTGTTTATACGTAGCAAGAGAGCATGTTTTGAATACATCATATAAAATGATGGAATTGAGAGTTCGTTATCTTAACAAGAACTTCAATTTCAAAAATGGATCTTTAATAGGATCAACAGCAAGTATATCTTTATCGAGCATTCACTGTAATTATTTTAAAAGCTTCAAAGTTCACGTTTTTTAATGGCAATAAGTTTTAACTGTGAAAACAGGAGAAAAACCATTTTTTGCTTTTAATTCGATTTTCTCAAATATATATTTACTATAATAATAAACTTTAGTCTCTTAAATTTCAATCTTACGTGCAATATTTAAATATTATGTAGGCCCAAATAAAATAAGCCTATCAATTCGGAAGCTCTACATAAAGCATAGACAAAAACGTCTCGCGCCAGTTTTGCATAATCCACGCACAGCTGTGGAAATTAAGTGGAAATGAGTTTTACATAAAGCATTGTATGTAAATCAGTTGAGCCGGACACA